AGAAAGGGAATCTCTTCGGTCTATCGTGTTAGTTCTAGAGTAAAGCTACACTCCTTAAAATGCTAAGCTACCTACCCTCCTAAGCTACCTAATGCTAGCTTTAAGGAAAATCTTTAATTTATTCATTTTGCTATTAATGATACAAAAAATTTAAAGATTTATTTACACTTAATCATTGAATTCGGATTTCAAATTTAATTTTTACAGAATTTCTTGGGGCCGAGATAGCCTGATTGGCAAGGCGCTGAACTCTCGTTCATGAGATCGGAAGTTGAATCCAGCCGGTGGAAGAGTAAATGGTGACTGGTTCACGTTAAATCTCTGTCGGACCACAATGTCCTCCATGTTTCCATAACAAATTGCGCCTCTGTGAGTACTGAATTGGATATTGATCAGGTCAAAATTACAGTCTGCGTATGAATGGATCCGTACAATAACGGGTGTAACATGGGTGAGGCAGAAGTCGAATTTTCGGCCATGGATGGCCCCACTGGAAAACAAGAACAATCGCACCCCTTGTCTTATTGGCTTATTAACAACAACAACCCTTGGCTTTATTAACAACAACAAAAACCATTCGATTTCCTCTAGAAATCTTATTAAAAGACGATTTGACCGCAATTAATTTTTGTCAGACATGAATTTTAGAAAAAAATAGTTAAAATTAATACAACGCTTTAGTAATGGGAAAAATTGTAGATTCTTGAACCATTTAATAATCATTATAAAAGCTGTTTTGTTTTCGCAGTTAAATGAATGTTTAAAATAATTTAATTAAACTTTATATGGAAACAAAGCAAATATTCAATGAAAAATTCGAAATTAGCATTCTATTTGAAATATATTGCGCTTGCACACTAGCTAATTTGATCAGATTCTAATTAATTTACGCTAATAAGGGGTCCTCTTTATTTTTATTAATTCAACTTTAATGTTTAATTACAAATTCAACGTGAATATTCATCATTTCGTTAGAAAACACTTTTAACCATAAAATCAATTAAAAGCCAAAAACAAAATTTTAAAGTTAAACTGTTACCGATACTTTGAATAAGTGTAAATAGTAAATGTCTTAAGTATTGACTTGTCACAAAGAGATACTTTGATGTACAAGAACTAAGACTTCATCTTTAATCAACGTGTCTCAGAATTGTTCTTTCAGCACATTTTTAAAACCAAACAAAAGAATAATCAAGGTACTTATTCATTATTCGGTTTCAACTTATTCACTATACTGAATTTACTCCAGGGCAAATGTAATCTACATGATAATGAGCAGCTGTTCTTATTTTAATTATGTATTTATTACGAACGCTTCGATAATTAGAAGCAGGTATTCGAAAATTAATAAGCTCAACGAAAATTTTCGCCTGATTCGTTGGAAACATTTATCATCCCGTTTAAAAGTAAATTACTTTCGAAAGATGTTTTTCAATTTTTGTTGAGGAATGACAAATCGTTGCAAAATGAACTAAGATAGAATAATAGTATAAATTAAAAGGCAATGAAGAACCTGTTTATATTTTCGTTAAAAGTGCCGAAACGTAGCGAAATTCGAAAGAGAGATTTCGAAATAGAAATGAAATAATAAGCTACTTAAAATTAATTAAGCGAAACTACTTAACTTTAAGCGGTAAGAAACGCACAGTTGGTCGTCTTAAAGTTTTAAATGTGCTTCAATCGTTTCAGATAGCTGTTTGAAATTAATCAAGCAATACAATCTAACTTTCAAAATAGCCTATACTTTATAGAAAAAGTGAGACACTTTAGAACATTTTAATTTTTAGCCAATCAATTAAGCTAGTCAAAAGATATCAATTTAAAAGCATTCTAAAATATACTTTTAAACTTTAAGAAAATCGTTTCAAATTAAGCTAAAGAATCTTATTTATGAAAGAATCTAAAATGTATTGGGTAGTATGAACAATGAGGCGCTTTTTAACGATATTTTTAAATAAAATTTAACAATCGCTTTTTAAAAAAAAATAATTATATTGAAATCTGATTTAAACGTTTAATAATTACGCATATTTTTGGTGACCCTGAACTAATCCGCTATCCGTAAAAATCCGTATCCGTAAAAATTATCTCGCTATCCGTAAAAATTAACAAACTGCAAAATTCTTACATCTTGGCCAACCAAAATTTTTTATTTCTCAAAATTTTTTAAATGTAATTATTTTTGATATACACCACGTATGAACAGAATTAAATATCTTACGAAAGTAGTGGTAGTTGGTGCTTTTTTTTTGTTTACAAAATGTAACTTTTGTTTTTAAACGTAATTATTTTTGAGATACACCACTTATAAACAGAATTAAGTGTCTTACGAAAGTAGTGCTCATTGGTGCTTTTCTTACAAAATGTAACTTTTGTTTCTAAATGTAATTATTTTTGAAATACACCACTTATAAACAGCATTAAGTGTTTTACGAAAGTAAAGCTCATTTCTTTTACAAAATGTAACTTTTGTTTTTAAATGTAATATTTTTGAGATGCACCACTTACAAACAGAATTAAGTGTCTTACTAAAGTATTGTTCATTGATCTACATAATCTTTAAAAACTTACTTATCAAAGAACTCCTTAACTTTTTAGGAGAGATTTTAACCAAGTTAAAATTTTGTCTTCTCTCTATGAATGTCTAAATTTAATCAAAAGTATTCTTGATGAACAAGCTTTAGCTATTAATATCATTTGAATCTATCAAAATGGGAATCTTATAAGTATATTATATATATATATCATATATATATCATAATATACTTGTTCCTATTAAAAATTAAAAAGCTGAAATGAAAGAATTTTTTTTCTTCTTTCTGTTACTTGATTNTAATATTATATAAATCACTAATTTCAGATTGAATCTTGGTATTTAATTTTAGAGCTCATTAGGATAATATTGATCATACATGAGAAAGTTGCTTTTAAAAAGTAACGAGTAAATGTATAAGTACTTTAAGAAAGAGTTACAAGCAAGAAGTTTTGCTTTTAAAAAGTAACGAGTAAGGAGTACAGAAAAAGTACACTTACAGGCAAGAAAAAAGTACCGATTTTAAAGAACATTCGAAGTATTCGTAAATTTCATTAAAAAATGTTAGAAAAATATGTTTTCAATACATTAAATTTTAATTTAAAAGGTATAAAATTTTGAATTTCAGGAAATGTTACAAAGTTCAATTGAAATAGTGAACGTTAAAGGAAACTATACAAGATATCGAAATTCATTGTTTGCATATCAAACGGAATTTTAATTTACTCAATTTTAAAACTATTAAATCTTCAAACATTTTGTTTTTACTTCCAGAAATTTCAGGAACAAGTTAATTTGTTGAACAATTTCGATATCATCATAATTTATAAGAGAGGCTCTGCTGTTATAATCGATAAGAGATGGTTCTGCTGTTATGAATGTTTCATAGTGACAGCTGGTTTCGGTGGTTTCAGAGAGGTTAGATAACTGTCAATAATATTTAGTTTTTATCGCTTTGAGTTTCATACAAAAACACTGTTAATTACTTTGTTGCATAGGTCAAATTTTGTGGTAACTAAGCAGCATTTGTAGGAAGTTTTATGTTTCTGCCTTAATTGGAAGAAAAGTGCAGCTGAAGCGGATCGAATGCTCCAACTGATAAATCATGTAGGGAATGATTTCGACGTTTGAAGAATGGTGAGTGGTGTTGTATACTATGGACTGCTACAACCTGACGATTCCATTACGGGCGATCGGTATAGGCTCCAATTGAGTCGTGCATTACGAGAAAATCGGCCGGAATACGAGCAAAGACATGACTAAGTTATTCTTCTGCATGATAACATTCGGCCTCATGTTACAAAAAATTATTTGGAAACGCTCAAGTGGGACATTTTACCGCACCCGCCGTATTCACCTGACATTGCTCCTTTTGATTACTGGTTGTTCCGACGGATGCAGCATGATTTCGCAGGTCACCGGTTCACTTTATTCGCAGAAATCGAAAATTTGCCCCTCACTTGAATTGCCTCAAAAGACGAGACATTTTTTCGAGATGGAATTCGAAAATTGCCTGAGAGGTGGGAAAAAATAGTAGCCAGCGATGGATAATACTATGATTAATATGTTCATTCATTTTGTTCAAAAATAAATGCATTTTTGAGCACACAAGAAAACCGACTGAACTAACTTGTACTCCCAATGTTATTTAGTTTGTCAATTTGTGTTAATGACTTTGGTTTTCTTCTGTTGTGCTGATACTTTTTATTCTCTTATGAGGTAATTTCATCTTAACATATTCTCTTCAAATATATATAACATAACAGGGATATGGGATGGAAACACTTCCATATTTTTTCACATTTTTTGACAAATATGGAGAGAGAAATTTTATTTAAGTATATTTAGGTCATGCGATTTCTCATATATATCATTACAATTTAAGCTTTTAAAGTTTTGACGGACTGGAAAATAATTATGAAAGAAAAATAGTGTTATTGAACATCCTATGTCTTTAAAGTACAACAGTAATAAGCTTGTAACTTGCATCAATTACTTTTGTTATCATATGCAAAGACTGTACATACCTAAGATTCTCATAACTTCGCAAACCTAGATTAAATACTCATAAAGATATGAACATTTTAAAAAGAAATAATTATTTAGCCTTATGTTTTATAACTGCTTTAATATTAAATAAAATTAAAGAAAATATTATTTTAACTGCAGAAATATTAAATAAAATTTAAGAAAATTGTTAGTGTCATTTTTAGTTTATAATAAAAATATCATTTTAAAACATGAAAAAAATTCATTAAAAATTGCCTAACCAACATAACCTAGGATAAAACTGTAATTTCTTTCCCGCTAATACTATCTAACAGCTATGTGACCCACAGGTTTAGTGAATTTATTGATAGACTATTGTTCCCAAAAGGTTGAAGGGCCCAAATGCAAAGCATCTCAGTAGAAAATATGATGACTACACCGATTAAAAATGAATTGGACAGATTTATAAATGACATTTTATTTTTACGAACAAACCAAACATGTATATAAATATGTCAAACATACAAAAACAAATAAATAAATATCAAAAAGTATATAGTAAACAAGTAATTTGCGAACGGACATCAAATAAATACCTTTTCCAAAATAATTACCCCTTTTTGTAACATAGTTTTGATAACTCCAGAAATATTTTAGTATGTTTCATTCTGGAAATTAAAACAAGATATATTGCAACAAAAACGATGAACATTACCATGAAACTGTTAAATGTCGCTTATGAGGCTATGCGTTGACGAATGTGTTGATGGCACTCAACTATATCGACTAACATAAAGCAATTAAATTTTATTAACATCAAACATGACATTTTATTTATTTAAGTATTTAACTTTTAATTTATGTATTCAAATGATTACCTTAGTCATAAAAATTATATTTTATAGATTGATTACATTATTTGTTAGCTAAGAGACTGTGTTTCATGAGAATAAAATCATTTCCGCAACCAAGAAGCGCATAGAAAAAAAATAGATATTATGTATACATTTCAGTACATAGTTATGAAGTTTTCAAGCTTGTAATAATAGATTCATCCAAATTTCTTTCTATACTAAGTAAGTTTTGCCCCAGAAACAAGATAACATAACTGATTTCATAATAATATTCTTGTCAAAGACTAAAATACATTTCAGTTGACTCAGCATGTTCACCGCAAATAATATAATTTTCTTAGTTTAGCACATTTATTAAAATAATTTGAACGTTAAATTATTTTAACAACAGAGAATAAATCTAACTGGGTGATGAATTTAAAAATAGGAAAACAAATTTAATTTGTTTTCCTAAAAAATGAGATTCATTTGTTTATTTTTAAAATGTTGTGAAGAGATTACAAGATATAAACAAAATTATTTGTGAAATTAAATAAGTATTACTGGAATAGGCTAATTATCAATAATTAAAATATGTTTATACAAATGAAACTTATCTATAAATCCTCTTTGGACAACGAAGACAAATGTTTGATACCTTACTTATAGATAAAAAATAATTATCACTAATAAATAATCCCTATTTAACAAAACAACAATCACTTGAAAGATATGTTATAATTGTTTTTTTAATTTGTTCGCTTTAAGGCTGTTGTCTGGAGAGTCATATGAAATAATGATTTATCTATAAACTAGTATGCTATTTTTACAACTGCTGTGAGTTTGTGATAGTTAGGTTAAGTTTTGTCCATCTTTTTACTAACCTGCCATGGTAATAAGAAAATGGTGGAAAATATCAATCAAAACTGCATTTTTCGAGCTCTTAAAAATAGACAAATTTGAGATTCATTCATTGATTTCAATTATTTTTATCTGGGCCAAAGCTTTAAAAATTTAAAAACAAACAAGTAATTCAAATATTTAAAAATTATTCAGTCTAGACTTTTTTCTTTCTTTTAGTAAGAATAGTTTAAAAATTAAATCTTTGCTTTAAGTTATAGGCTCTCAAAATGTGACTTTATTTTTCGAGGCAAAAAAGCCTTAAGGGACCCATTTTATTATAAAATATTCGAAAATCAAGAGCTTTGGGGTTTTTAGGGTCTTTATAAATTCACAGTAAATATTTAAAAACCCAGAGATTATAGAACCATAACATTAAAAGATATGTATTTAAAAACATATTTTATCATATGCCAGTAAGCATGTAACAAAATATACTAAAAATGAATTGATGCGACAAATTGATACATATTTTTCTTTCCTTTAAGACAATCACGTAGGGTAAGTATTGAACATTGATAACTCATCAAATGAAGATGTCCCACTCTGGTCTAATACTTGAAGCATTTCTGTAAACTCTTGCCTGGGTCTATTTTCATCAGTGCCAAATGTGTGTGGATGGCTACCACTAGATGAAGAATCAGGGGTTCCAGGGTCTTGCCAACCCCATGTCCCTAAACAAGGATAAAAAAAAGTAAAACAAGCATTAAAAAACATTTAATAAAAAGGTCTTATTCTAATTTTAAAAGTATGAAATATTATTATCTACATTTATGGTGATGGCATTTAAAATATTCAAGAACTATTTGCTTACACGCTGTGTATGAAAAATAAGTTTTCCCTCTCAAAGTATATTTTAAAATCAAAAAGAATTTGATATTATATAAGAAATGAAGCTAATCAAATAAATATTAGTAAAAATATATAATTTTTAATATATTTTAAAAAAAAAAATTTTTTTTAAATTTTATTTAAAAAAAAATTATTTCTATACCTGGAAACATTTGAGTAATACTACTTAAAATTTTAATTCTTTAAACATGAGGAAAATTCTAAACTGATACTGATGAATTCGATACTGATTGCGTGCTTTAACTATAAAAGCAATACACTTCTTGTTCACCATTATTGTCATAAAAGTCTACATTGAAAAGCTTAAATTTAATTTCTGCTCATTATTCGCAGATTAAAAAAAAAAACTACAAAGTGATGAAAAGATTAATGACTAACGGCTCAGGCTAATCAAAAAGAAGTGAAGAGTTACCTTCTGAATGCAAAGAAAGAGATTGGTCGAAGCTGGAAAAAAAGCCCAATTGAATTTGGAGACCCAGGAGTAAAGACGTATAAGGTGAGTGGCATGCATTTAGAATGATTAATATTTCATGTTACAATTTTATTTATAATATGTAATCAGAATACGTGAAATTTAAAGCTTGAATTAAATATCCCAGAGTGCAAATATGTTTAGTTTCAGAATTGCTTTAAAAGAATAATTAATTTAAATAAGTTAATGGCTACTACTCTGCATGTAATGTAGTTAGGTGTAAGCAGAAAACAGTTAATTAGTATTAATTTTATCAAATGCTTAATATACTATTAGCTTCGAAACACTGGTGCCAATGACATATCACAGCATTTAATTTTTTTTTAAATTAAAATGCTAGGCAATATTGGAAATAGTTTTAAAATGATATGTGCAGTTTTCTATCTTAGTGTCATTATCTGAAAGAATAATTTCAATGTAAAAGTAATTTGTTTTAAACTAGGCTAATTTGTTTAAAATGTATAATTATTTCTGTTTCGTTTTAATATGATGAACAAAAAATTAACATATCTACAACAACATTTTTTTTTTTTTTTAGTTCTGCCACGTGCATCTAGAGTTAATAATTTTGAAATTGTTTTATCAGAATACATTAAGCCTAAATGCATCGAAGGCATCATCGATCTCCAGACTGTGTGGAAGAATGGGGAAAAAATACTTGCTCAAATAACTCCAATTTCATAAATTTATTACCGAATGTCGTGGCGATACGGATAAGTTAACCATTATTGAATTTCTAAATAAGCTCAATCAGATAGCTCTCTTATGGTCAATAGTCAAAGCAGGAAATTTTAACTAGTTTTTATTTTCATACATACTTAATGTACTGATAATTTCGAAACATAAGTATTCATTTATTTTATAGAAAAAAATCTTCAGTGTACAACCTAATACCAGGAGTTATATTTACCTAATACCAAACAGTTTGTACCTAAGAGCACATTCTAGAACACTGTTCAACTTATATTAGTTGAAATGTTTCAATTTATTGAAAACTGAAATGTTTTTTTCGTGATTGAACAATAAGCATCATACATTTTCTTCAGGATAAATTCAGACTTTTATACAGCATTTTATTGGAAACTAAAAGCATAACAAAGGATTAGAAACCCCAGATCTAGTCACATGTGTCAAAAAATCTAACCTAATCTCAAGATTACAATTATTATTTATAATAAATATCACAAATTATAAGGAAATATTATAAAATACATTCAAGTTATTTTTTACTGATACAATAAGTTACATGACTTTAATTGAATGTCATGAGTCATGAGTTTCTGTCATGAGTTTCTTCATTGTTATTTTTCAGATATCCTTTTTGATTTTTCAACATAAACAAAACACCAAAATAAACAGACACAAAAATATTTAAATTAATCTCAAAACTAACAGTTTTGGCTATAATCAGAAACATTTATAATTTCAGAAAATTTTCAATGCAGACCTGATATAAATCATATTTGATTATCAAGTAAATGCATCAAAAGCTAATAATGTCCTCAGAAAATAAGCAAACTTGAGTTTTATTACTTCTTTGATTCTTAATAAAAGTAATTGTTTCTCCTTTTTCAAATTTTAACGGTTAAGCATTTAGTTTATCATATGAATAAATTTAAAAAATAAAGCTTTTGTGTTANCCTCAGAAAATAAGCAAACTTGAGTTTTATTACTTCTTTGATTCTTAATAAAAGTAATTGTTTCTCCTTTTTCAAATTTTAACGGTTAAGCATTTAGTTTATCATATGAATAAATTTTAAAAAAAAAGCTTTTGTGTTAAATTTTTAATACAGAAGATCTATATAAAAATAAAAAATCGTCATTATTTAAATGTCTAAATTTCTTTTTTTTTTTAACTTTCATAAAAACAAAAAATAATCTTTAATTTAATGGATTTCAAGGTGTTTCCAGTAAATGAAACAATTTTTTGCTTTTTTACTTATTTCCTTAAACAAAAATCATAATGTATTGCGTTTAGCAAACTAATTTATTACTACGAATTCCAAAATTAAAAACAAAATTTCAAAAGATTTGGTAATTTTAAAATTAACAACTCTTTTTTTTTATACAAACGTTGAATTATAATTTCTGGTTTGGTTTCAACTATTTCATGCATTTTTCTGCATTCAAGTTTCTTACATTTTAATTAAAATGTAATGCATTTTAACTGGAAATTACATTTTGTTTCGATTTTTTAATGAAAATTAAGGTGTTTTTTCTTTTCTATTTCCCCGAAATGTACTTTAAAATCGTTACTTTTCGGTTTTGTACTTGTACTCCTTACTGATTACTTTTTAAAATCAAAATGTTTTACTTTTTGCGCATTACTTTTGCCCAAGGTACTTGTACTTTTACTCGTTACTTTTTTAAAGTAATGTTCTGATGCATGCCATACAATTGGGTATTATCAATGTATTAAAATAAAACTTATAGTTTTGTGAAAATTAACAAGAAAAGAATAATACTTCTAGGTGGAAGTGTAGATCCCATCTGTGTATATGTCACACTAGACAAATTTCCATAGTTTGGATTATAAGCTTCTGAGCTGAGCTATAAAAAAAAATCAAATTAGAAATGAGCAAAACATATACTAATTAAGTTAACTTGCACTAATACACAATACAATTTACAACTTACTGTAAGCAAATTAAAAAACTTTTAACTATATTTGTGTATTTTACTGCACTAAAAACATTTTAATTGTTTGTTACACTTAAAATTATATTAAAACATTGTTTGTATTCATTAAAATTGAAATTCTTAATAAATAAACACGACTTTGAAGCTATTGTGTGCAGCTATTAATTTTTAGGACAGCTCTAATCGCTTCAGATAGTGTTATGGGAATTACATACCCTTCATACCCTTTTTAATATGATTTAAAGTACCACTTATACTTTAACAGGCTTGTGAACTATGCTTTAAGTATTGCAAAAACAACTTTTGAAGTGTTCTTCAATGGTGACGAGGTTTCCCTTGGTATCTTTTAACTCTAAACTTTGTTTCAATTTTTTATTAGGTTTTAGCACTGAATTTTCCCTCATTCTCTCTTCATAGATTTTTCTCATATCAAAAATTGAAAATTTTAATGAAAGAACACGTTTATTGAAAACATCAGCATTCAGAAACTGAACTTAAACACTAACCAGTCAAAGACTGGTTATTGCATGTTGTATTGTACTGTAAAGTGTATTGTGTTGTTATTTCTAATGCCACTTGAAAATGCCAGTAAGCCTGGTTCGTGAAACCAAGCAAATTTAAGGCAAAGGGTGCGTTTCCCATTTTTCAGTAGTGACCAGGAATACAACACGTTACAGCTTGTTTACAGGATGTATCCATTCATACAACTATTCAGGGTCTTTGAGGTTGGTGAAACTTAACTCTTATTCAAACTCCCTGATTTGAAATTTAGCAACTTGATAATTTTACCTAACTAATCGAAAATCAGTTCCCAAATTATTAAGATTTTGATCAAATTTGCCACCTCAAAGACCTTATTGCTGATATTAATGTTTGGGTTATTTATCAAATCTCATGTTAATGTGGTCTAAGGTACATTGAACAAACTAACTAACTTGCTATTTGTGAGTCATTCTGAAACATGCTAATAATTTAGTTAGTGATCTTTCTAGTATCTATTGTAATATTTGGAAGTCTATTTTAATTTAAATTGTTGCACCCTGGGGTTCCTGCAAAATCCTCTCACACCTGTTCTTATCAAAACTTGTTCTTCTGTCCCTATTGGCTAAATTACTTTGTATCTTTGTATGCGTGCACACAGTGGAAGGTACTTGTTTATACGACTAAAACCGTAGTATGTCCATTTAGGTACTTTCATTTGTTCTTTATTTATAATTTTTTGCTTCAGTCTATAAAGCAAAAAGTATGCCTTATCCTTTGTTGGTTATGTAAAAGTGTTTATAAGGAAAGTTCTAAGCTTTCCAAATAATAAATAATAAAAATGTCTGCTTCAAATTTTCAATTAATAAAATAATGCGCCCACAAAGCTCAAAAATGAACAGTGGATTCTAGCCCACTGAAATTAAAGTCAGACCACCATGAAATAATACCAACAATTGATCTCGGGTTAATTTGGTTTTCTGATCTGTGTTTCTGTCTCAATCTCATCACTGGTCTACTTACTGGTCAATCTACTCATGTCTCAATATTTCATTCCCACTATGAATATCATATACATTCTCTGTAATTTTTTATTAAATTTCACTTTAAAAGCTTTTTTTTACTTGCAATACTTTAGACCATCTGCTTATATTAAAAGAAAGTAAAGAGATGTTTTTTTAAACAAAATGATTACATTTTGGGTTAAATTCAAGGCCTTTTTTAATTAATTAAAAAATTGAAATACTATATTTGTTAAAACAAATTAGCATTTAATTTTATAATTTGTTAGATGAATCTATATGAACTCGTGAAATCTCCGACAGTCGATGATAGTGCACCCGCTGTAGTGAACCTGTCTGAGCCCCCAATTATATAATGTTATTTAAAACACTTATAGTGAACAGCTGACAAATTGATAGATCAGTTCCAGTGGATTCAAATTTCCAGTCCTCCAACTTTTAACTTACAAATGGTCATATTCCTGTGGAGGACAATTTACCAATAATTCCGTAGCTAGAAAAACATGTAATAAACATTACATTTTTCAAAGGAATGTTACGGAGCAATTTGAATGTTGTAATCAGTGTGCACTTTTGGTACTGCTATTGATGATGACTTTGTAACTGAAATTAAACAACAGAACGAAAATTTTATTTTCTTCAAAAAAGAAATTAATGACAAGAAAATGAAATTTTGACACCATCTTGCTGAGAGTAGACAAAAAAAAATTGATAAACTCTACTTAAAATCAAATTGCAATCAACCAAATATCACTAATTTCCTTCATGTATAAAATGTAGAGTCAATATGTAAATGTATATTTAAAAAAATTTTTTTTTTCAGTTTATCTACAATAGGACCTCAGGACACAGTCATTTTTTGGTTTAACCACTGACTACAGAAAGGCTCCAGTGTGTCCCTTGATGAAGTACTGTTTTTGCGAACATACATACCTTTAGAATTTTGCTTTTGGTTTTTAACTTTTTATTTAAATTGTTTAAATAAGACAAATTTGGTTTTAGCTGCTTTTAGCGCTTTTCCATTTGGAATTATTATTTTAAAGTTTTTTGTTCTTAAAATTTGCTTAAATCAATTTCATACTTTGATTGGATAAAAAATATTACCTAACTCTGTGATCAAAGATTTAATGCATCAACTTCATCTAAGAGTACTAAATTTTATCTGTAACGCAAACATTGTGCACTAGCTTAACTGTTCGTCACTTTAAAAAAAATAGCAGATATTTTTAAGCAATCTTTATTTCTAGAAACAATAAGTCAAAAAAAAAACATTACAATGTTAAATCATTTACATGAAACACATACTTTCTGCACTTCTGTATCTGCACTTTCTGCAGTGTTCCAACCTACAAAAATATAAATCTTCCAGCCTAAAGAATCCTTTTCTAAAGAGTAATAGGCTTTGAATGACTGTTCAAGAGGAAAAGGGCATCATTTCCCTTTGAAAGACTATCTGATGAATTTTTAGGGTGATACATACAAAACATGAAATATCCAGAATTTTGAAATAAACATTAATCCTTGTTTAAATTGCTGAAAATAAATGTAATCCATAGCTAGCAAATATTACCTGCGGAAGAGTAGTTTGAACCCAGATGACTGGAGGAGATTCAGGAGCACTTACATCAATATTGGAAGATGTTGGAGATTGAGATGAAATTACTTTTGAACTTTCATTGCTATTTGATACTGAGTAGTTCAGTCCATAATACTGAGGGTTTTGATAGATAGCTTGATTAGAACTAAGTTGCCTTTCATTCATAATTTGTGTTTCTACAAAAGAAAAAATAATTATGTGATTTAGAATTAATAAAAAATGTTGTCTCTTGGAATGAAACAAAACGATATAAAGAAATTTATATTCGTTTCACATTACAAAATGATTTAAGTTGTTGTAAAATGAATAGAATAAATATTAATAGCATGCAAAAAGAATGGGAAAGTAAAGACCCCTTTAACAAACTTTCAAAATTAAGAAAGTTGGTTTGAAAAAGAAAAATTCAAAAATATATGTCAGCAGTAGAAATGCAGAGAAGTTCATAAAAAAAAAATTTCTCAAACAATGTAAATGTGACCGTCAAAGTATGAAATGCCTGCATTATATATAATGCCTGAGATTTTTAGGCAAAGTAAGAAATATTGATGTTTCTTCTAATCTATCGTGAGTAAGTATTAAAATATCAAATAAATGTAATTATATCCAGGAATAAATTAATATCAAATCGGATGTAATAAATATTTCGGACATTCACCAAAACGCCTATGTGATTGTCAACATTCACCAGTGAAAGTCAACAACCACCGATTTCGGTCATTCACAGTAATATGCACACCATTTACATAATAACTTCATCAGGACGTTTATTTCATACTTTGCCTAAATAGCATCCGGCATTATATATAATGCTTAGGCAATGTGTGAAATATAAATCATTTCATACTTTGCCGGCTAGTTTTAGGCATTATATATAATGCCGGTAACATAAACAAATAAAAAATATTATTAAGGAAATAAGATAAATGCTTTCAAATATGAATTTTTTCAAAATTAACTTTTTTTAATCCTGAATTGGCAAAAATAAAATTACAACACTTAAAACTGTTTATAAATGACAAGAACTCACATAAACATTATGAATAACACTGAAAGGGGAAGGGGGAGGAAACTAACCACTTCTAAAACAAGATCAATTTAAATGTCAAATTTTTAATAACAAGCACATTTTTTGTAACAAGATTGCTTGCTAAATGTCTGACATTTGCTAAATGCACAGTTTAAGCAATACAAAAAAATTTATTGTTGATGGTTTAAATAAAAAATTTATATTGATAATTATAAGCATAGCTATTTATATTTAGATCAACCTAGCAAAAATTTTCTTAACAATAAATAACTAATTATTTGTTTGTTAGTTTCTATAAATTGTAAGAACCTTACTTCAGTTATGAATAAAAGATAATTCACATTCTGATAATCTCTTTCTAGAGCATTAAAACTTATCAAAAAATACTGTTACAATGGGAGTTATTTTTTCCACAAAATGTACACAGTATTTTGTTCACTTTTACAACAAATTTTTTTTTTAAATTTTTATTGTTTACAAAAATATTATAGTCAAAGGAATCTTTATCTATATATAAACTTAAAGCCCGAAAAATATTTTTATGTGCATACAATATAATATTTAATGGGATACATAAACTGGCTATTTAATAATGAACTATGATGCATCTTGCAAAAAAAAAAAAAAGATTAATAATTTTTATTAAGCTTTTTTTTATTTTGTATGTCTCCTATAGTTACAAATATTAATTTCACAAAAGTGTATCACAGTAATAAGTTTTTATTATTATTATTAAATAAAAATCTTATTAAATGACATTAAAATAATCTGGTTGTGGCTATATGCAAAGATGTTATTTCTTTTAAAGTAATAAATTCAATAATAAAGACTTATGACTCTAAAAGTAAGAGTATCATTAAGCAAAATTAATAAAACTACAAAGTAATTTTCTATTTAATAATAAACTATGGATGTATTATTATTAAATAAAAATCCTACTAAATGACATTAAAATATTTTGATTAAGATCATGTGTAGATGTTATTTCTTTTAATAATTTTAAAAAAAGTAATAAATTTAAAAAAATAATAAATTCTAAAAAAAAAAGACTTTTGGCACTAAAAGTAAGAGCGATTTTAAGCAAAATCAATAAAACTACAAAGTAATTTTCTATTAATCAACTGCGCAAATTTTACCTTTAAAATATTGATTGTTTCAACAAAGTACCTGTACAAAACTGTCATTTTTCTGTAACTCAAAATAACATTTTAGAAGAGTCTAGAAAAATAAATAAAATGTTTACAGTCTGGAGAAACTTTAGGTTTCCATTTCATAAAATGCAATTTTCATGTTTCAAAAGATGTACCAAAGGAATGCTATTCAATTAGTTCAACAGTTAAACACAAAAACCTACTTACAATGCAATTTTTATGGATTAATGATGAAATAAAAAAGATCTTATTAGTTTATTAGAAAAAAATATGTTTTACCAGGATGATGTGCAGACGGTACAACAGAATGAAAAGCATTTGATTTAGGGTGACTATAATTAAGTTCTGCACCGTATTGATTTTGCTCATTCTCTTTTGCTAAACTGGGAACTTGATCAGATCCGGAGGTAGAAGTTTCTTGTTGATTATGAAGATTTCGACTGAAAATTAAAAAGCATATTTAATTAAGAAATGTTTTTTAAATATATATAAAAACAATAATACTTATAAGAGTGAAACTAAAAACTATCTTATGCAAAGGAAAAGCTACAAAGGGACTTACTGATAAACCTAATTTTCAGATGGATTAAAAATAATTATATGTGCCCGAACATGTTGTATGTTTGCATATCTAACTATATTCCTAACATGTCAAAATAGGATTTAATATTTGGCACCTGTTTTCAATAAAAGTCATGAAATAAAATATTTTCTAACAATCTCATGCATTCTTGACACAGTACTTTAAATTTGAGTATAAAAAAAATACAAGGGGCTACTTTTAAATCCAGGAATGATTTAAAAGATGTCTAGAAAATATTATGTGAGCAACATACCCATTTAATATGTTCTACGTAACCAGTTGATGTAATACACTTCTGCTTTAAACATTTAAAAATACTTAGAGATCTCTTTCAACATCTTTGTAACTAAAATGTCATAAATTTTTTTGATATCTTCAACATAATTGATACAAGAAATAACTGGTGCACCCAACTATAACTCTGAGAACACAAGGTAAGCATTACTTTTGATGTTTCTGACTTTATACAATTTTGAACCAATCCTATCAAAAGAATGAAAAGATAATGTACTGCCTTTATACTGCAAAGCACAAAGCAAGTACTTAGAATACCAATAAATGAGCTTTGGCCCCTTTTCCTAAAAATTTCACATAGAAAATTTATCAACCAAAGACTTAGTGCCTGAAACAGAAATAATTGATATAGTTCTTAAACTAACTTCTAACAAATTTTGCTAACACAAATAAAGATATCACTATTTAAAGAGAAATCTTTCATACATCAGTGTTCGCGGTGTTATACTTATTTTCTAGTTTATGAGACAAATTTTTATCTGGTTTAGTATTTTAAGAGAAGATTCCAGAATACAATCAATGATAAAACAAATACACAAATAAAAGATCACTGATCAAGAAGAAAGAGTTTTGGGGGCTGAATATAAAGTGCACACTGGTTCATGCACTTACTATTTATCTTGGTATAAATCAATGATATAAACATAGAGTTAGATATGAATAACTCTGAATCAATTCACCGCTTTCAAAAACAATTTTTATTGTGCCATATACAATTAATTTAGAATTTTTAATCATATTTTTACATATAGGCATTATTTGCAGGAACAATACTTTAAATAACTTTCAGAAAAAAAATTTGTGATTAAAAACATAATTTATTCAAGAGTATTTAAAAAAAATACAATTCTGAGTATTTCATAAATATTTTTCAGTGGTCAGCTTATACACTCAACATACCAGAAATTTGCTGAGTTGTAATCAAAAATAGGGGGCCTAAGGTTCTGAGACTCCAGGCGAAAAGTTCGAGAATTAGCAGTCCTCGAGGAAGAAAAACAATTTCGCTATCACGTTTTCTTAGAAAACAATAATAACGCATAAAAATATTCTCATGTTTACGACAAAGTAACCCAATGAAAATAAATTACTTAAGCTTTGAGGCAATATGAAAAATTTGTTTGAAATGAGATTTTTGGAATGAGTAAAATTTTTTTAATGAGTTTATCGCTTTTCTTCAGAACTAAACAAGTAAAAATAGTGCATTTGTTTTTGAACTGAGTAGGGGATTCATATCTTTCTCATCATCACTTGAACATGTGAGGGAACCAGGATCTTAAAGCATTTGTGCAAATATGGATTTGTGTGTTTGCATGATGTTAGAAATGAACCTTTTTTTAACAAAAAAATTACCGATCAACTCCTCGATAGATATCATTAAAATTCTTTGTTATAATTTCTCTAGTGATTTGCTTTCTGAAATTATCCTAAATGCCTTTTTCTGATTTATCTGTTAATACATAAAAAAAAATTCTTATTTGAATTTTGTCATAACACGATCTGACTGCCTTTAACTACATGAAAATAATTTAATAATATTATATATCAGCCTTTATGTATAAATTGCTTAAAAAAATTAAAAGCTATTAAAATTTAAAATAATTTTAATACAAAATAAGTGTAAACTTACTTATGCACAGCCACTATATATTCCATTTCATTTGTGTATGGATTGAGAAAAACAAAACTACTGGTTCGGAGCCAAATCCATTGTTTATTCTTGTCTTGAAATCGATACATGACAGACACCACTTGCCCCTTCAATTTTAAAACTATATTAAAAGTACAAAATGTTATTTAAATAAAATAAGATGTATTTTCTGATAACCTATGCCTTTAAATTGAAAGTAATTTTTGTTTTGAAAGTTTGAAATAAATAAAATCTGAGGATTCACTCAAATAGAAACAAAAAAAACCTGGAAAAGGTAGAAATCAAATCATAAAGTTTAATATTTTTTAATGACGATAAAAACAGTAACTTAAACCAATCTATTGATAACAAAACAGATGTGGAGAAAACATGATACTAAGTCTAAATAATTACTTTTAACTCAGACAGAAAAATAAATATACAATCAAACTCGCCTATTAAATTTCCGTTTGACATCCTGGAATTAATGAGGAAATTTCTTAGAAATATCTGATTTAATATTAAAAGGAGTGCATAAAACTTTGTTAGACCCAAATTATGCTTATAATAACAAAGAATCACTCAATCTGTTAAAGTTGCAGGTTGTTGATCCATCAGGGTGCGTAGCCAAATTATTCAACAAAAAATAAGCACCTTTTAAGCACTAAAAAAATATTTTTAAGCACTTTAAAAAAATATCATAATTAGGTACGGTTGGAAAGTTTTTGACAATTGACGGTTTTATCTAACAGTCATGCCGAAAAGAAAAAAAACTTTTGGCATTATTTTTGACATTTGTCAAAAATTATGAAATTTTGAATCATGTAAAACGAAAAAATAAGCACTTTTCAAGCACTCAAAAAATATTTTAAGCACTTTAAAAAAATATCATAATTAGGAAGGCTTGGAAAGTTTCTGACAATTGACGGTTTTATCTTGTTTTAACAGTCATGTCAAAAAAAAAAACCTTTTGGCATTGTTTTTGACAATTGTCAAAAATCATGAAATTTTGAATCATGTGAAACGAATGGCGTTTTCATACGCTTCGGACTGACAATACGCCGAAATAGATTGAGGTTGAATGAATTGTGAAAAACCTGAATAGAACCATGTGAACTGCGTCTTTTTGGATAATTTGCAGCGAAAATCAACATGGTAAAGGAAAAGAGTAATTTTGAAAAAGGCGAAATTAAGCACTTTTTAAATACACCCAATGAAAAAAGCACCTTTAAAGACTTTTAAAAAACGAAAATAAGCACCTTTAAGAACTTTTTAAAAACGCTACGCATCCTGTCCATAAATAAGGATCTGTAAGAGGTATTAGCTATAATTAATATTTTCCATACTACTCGCTCTTTCTGTGCCTTCCTAACTAAATGTTAGTAAAATTCATAATATAACTTAGCAAATGAATAGAATGAACTAATGGATTAATAATCTAACTTAACAAATGGAGAAAGATGGAACAAATGGATTTAATAGCAATAAAAACTTTCTTTCAATGCTTATTGATAAGTTGATTCAAAGTTAAAAATATTAGTAATTAAATTTAATTTAAAAAATTTTTGATTAATTTTTATAAATTATAGCTTTTAATTTTGATAATTTTGGCAGATTCTGGGTTAACAAGTACCCTGTTTTAAGATTTAAATTTTCTCTTTCCTTAAGTTATTATTATTTTTTTAAAAAAATTAGACAGTAATAATATATCCCGAAAATCAGGGGTGGATCTACCTAAGGGCTTTTTGGGCTGCAGCCCAGGGCCCCGTGGATACAAAGGGCCCCAGTCCCCACTGAAAACAATAGGTGATATTTTGAATTTAAAAAAAATATCTAATATTAAAAAAAAACTATTATAAGGTTGGCAACCCCGAGATCAATCAACTCGTGCATGTGTGCGTCTATCGAACGGAACGGGAAATTCCCCATCGCTTGTTTTTGGCCAGTGTATTTTTTCGTGTCTATTACGGGGGACTTCCCGCCGAGCCGCTTAACGCCCACGTAATTTTTTTTCCGCACTTCTGTTCTCGTCGTCAAAGTGACAAACTTGTTTAGTTTACTAACTTGTTTAAAAAATCATGAAGATTCTAATGAACATAAGAAACCAATGTTAGTGTGGTTGACACGAAAAGAAAATAGATCTGTTTTAGACAAGCAGCTTCAGAAACAATTAAGAGAAGAAACAGAATATTATCACTATGTCCTAAAACAGGTTATTGCAGTGGTCAAATTTTAAGTATAAGGGACTTAGCATTTAGAGGTTCCGAGGAAGTATTTGGCTCTCCACATAATGGTAATTTTATGGGTGCTCTGGAGCTATTGGTAGAGTTCGATCCATTCATTCGTAAACACATTGAACAACGAGAGCTGCGACCAAAATCGATAATATCGTACTTATCAAAAACAGTATATGAGGAAATAATTGAGATTATGGGCCAACAGATAATTAAACAAATTATAACTCAAATAAATAACGACGACACAAAGTATTATTCAATTGTGATGGATTCTACTCCAGATCTATCTCACAATGATCAACTTGCTATTGTATTACGATACTGTTTTCGGGGAAAAGTGTATGAAAGATGTGTATCCTTCATTAAAATTAGTAGTCATACTGGCTTACATTTATTTAATATTCTACAAGACTTTTTAGAAACAAATCGATTACTACTGGATAATTGCAGGAGACAATCTTATGACAACGCTGCTAATATGGCGGGTCACTACAATGGTGTACAAGCACTACTAAAACAAAAAAATAAATCCGCGGATT